CAACTTTTTCCTAAAATCCTCTTAAACATTCAACTGACATTTGTATTGAAAGATTTCAATAACTTTTTTTTCTTTTAATTCATTTTAAATGAAATAGATAAAATTTAACAACGTCTGGTAGGATAATCACAACTGAAGTCAGAGGACCTGCTAAGTCCTATTCACATAAATTTGAACAATTACAGAATGCATATTAATTAAATAATTAAAACTGAAACTTAAAATCATATTGTATCAATGTCTAGAAAAATATCTTAGTCTCTCATAAAGAAGAACATTATGAGGGAGGGGAATGGGAATACGAAAGACAGTAGAATGAATCGAACATAATATCCCTGTGTTCATATATGAATAAACAACCATATCATACACAACCACTAAAATGGAAAGTTATATTCCATGTATGTATGTCAAAATACATTCACAGTCATATACAACTAAAAAGAACAAATAAAAAAAAAATTAAAAAGAGACAGACGTTATGTTTAGTTGTTTTTCCTAAAAATCTCCCTTGTTCTTCCTTTTTCAGAATTCTGGGAGAATCATGGATTTTATTCTTGTGGGTCTTTACTATGTGAATTCAAAATCTTTCTAATTACCTGTCATCTCCAATTTGATTCTTCATATTCAGTATCATACCTTTATTGAACACTTACTCAGTATACTAGAATGTGTTAGGGCTTTCATATAATATAGTGTGCCCAAAACATTGTCTGTTCTTAAGGGACACACCATTAAGTTATGGATGTCCGCAAAATGAGCATGCAGGTATGGATGAATTCTTGTTTGCCAAGACACACACGTGTTAATTCCAAATAATGGTGTAAGGAACAAGTAAGTCTCCTGGAATTGTGGAGCAAAGTACAGGTCCTCACAGAAAAATTACTCTGAAAGCCTCTTTGGAAGTAGGACCAGTATAGTAAGAAAAGGTGGAGTTTACACAGAAAAAAGTGGAGGAGAGGCAGATAAAAAAAAAAAAAGGAAGAAAGGCAAATAGTATACAACAAAGTAAATTCACAAGCTTAGCAAAAGCTTTCATTCAGGGCTCTGTAAAAGCAAAAACTGAAATGAAAGGCAAGTATTAAAATATAGTGTAAAATCTGGATGATAATCTAGAGTCTCGTGCTCTGCAAAAGTAATTTATAAAAAGCACTAGTTCTCTTTGATTCAATGTTCCTAATTCTTCATAACATCTTTCCTACCAAACTCAGGTGTATACGTCCATTTTCAACCACGTGGAATTTTACTATAATGGAGTTGAATATTAAGACCTAAGAATATTTAAGTACTTTGATTCCACAGTTAAAATTCTGAACCCATTATTTTCCCTCTTTGAGCCTCTCCTTGGTGTGTCCTCTGTTTCTTTGTGGGCTTTTAGAGTGGCTATGATTTTCCCTCATTTTCCTCTTTATCCCCAGCTTTAAGTCAGTTATTTAGTTGGCATTTCTTTTCATAGCACTTCTTGTTTCAACTGTTTTCCACTTCAAGTCTTATACTTAAGCCAGATACTCTATTCTGCAAGTATTAATCTTCTGCTTCCAGTTCCTCCAGAATATCCAGAATATCTTACTATACATAACTTCTATAAGTCATGACTCTTTCAGTACAATTTCAGATGATTACATTTCTTATTGTATAACTTTCATTGTATCAAACTCAAGTTCATAACATTAACAAACTCATTAACTAAAACATCATGGTTTGATATTTAAGTCACTGACTAAATGTGAGTGCATAGTCAGGCATCACCTTCATGTATTCTCAAATCTATTTCTCTTTATGCATTTCAATTTCTATAAAACCTATTTCTCCCTCTTTTCTAGGCACATATCATGAATTCTGATTCTGGGTTAGGACTGTTCTCCCTGTTTGAACTGTTCATTGCCTACAACTTCGGATAACATTTTCTTATCTCAAAAATCCATTAATCTACTGACTCTGAGTAATATGCTCCCTATTATAAATTCCTCTGTCATATTGTTTCACTGCTATTAATCTGTTAACTTCCTGAATTATAAGAGGAGGTAGAAAGGAAAGGGATTACCTAGAAAACGGACCACAAATTTATGGACTGCATGAAAAGATATTAAAACACTAAACGCAAAACATGTTTGTACTGTTTATAGTTTCATTTGTAGTAACAATGGCATATTACAAGAAGTAACGTAAGTCAGCACCTAGGAACACAGGACCATGGGGCACAAAGAGCAATTAGTATTATCCAGGCACTCATTTCATCTGTAAGAATCTTATGAGGTAAGTTCTACTACTTACCTCATTTTCAGCTGAGAAAACTGAGGAAAGAAAGGTTAAGTAACTTGCTCACTTCTATTTAGCTATTAAATTAGGAATCTGGAACTGGAATGCTGACAATCTGGCACCAGAGCCCATGCACTGAAACCACCATAGTCAACAGAGTATTGACTATGACTATTTATTGACTATCACTACTGACTATTGACCATGTTTTTAATTCTATCAGTAGAACAAACATCCTGTAAGACATGTACCATGATTTCATTTCAGGACATAAATATATGCTATTTAAATGTTCCATCACAGTTTTTCACTTCTGTTTAATTTCCAAAGTACTTTTGAACTGTATTTAATTATATGCAACTAATTTGAACTCAGAGAATTTGATCAATATTTTTTCTTTGCCTCATAATGCACACAAAATGGCTTAAGATTATTTAAGTACAAGCATCTTGAAACTATACAGATGAAGATACAGAACACTGAACTGATGTTCCATAAATATTTGACACTTAACATACAAAAAGTTAATGATAATAGCAGAAACAGAGTGAAAGAATGAATGTTGACTCAATATTTTGCAAGTTAATTAAGAATTTGATTTTAATTTATGTTACTTAGACCAAGACAAGATTTGGGCTCTCTCTAATTTTCTTTTCTGAAATCTATTTCCAATGAGCCAAGAAACCTTTCTTTTTATCTTCAGAAGATATAAATAAACATTTTTTTCATATACACTAACTCATATAAGCATAAAATGTATGATGTATTAACTATGAACATTTAAATTTTATAAACCCAGAGCAGCAGTACATCAGGCATTAAATATACAATTTTTATATATTGTTTTACACATACTATTATTTCTCTGAGATATTTCATGATTAAAGTTTAATTAAATTAATAATAAAATGAAAAATCTGAAATAGCAATTGCCAAATGAAAAATACTACTAATCTAACAATGCCATAACTTAGCCCAATTATTATTTCAGGTTTTAAAATATAGTATTTAATAAACTATTTTATTAAATCATTAATTTTTTTATTTTAATCTTCCTAGCACTGGACAATTACCTAAAGAAAGTATTTCTTTACTTATTTTCTGCATGTGGTTTGCCACGACCTCTGCCTACTGCACAGGAGCAAGGGGAGGTGCACCATGGTTACTGCACATGTCTATTTTAAATGTCTTTCATTTCTCTGAAATAGGGCTTTTTCTAAAGGAGGAAAACAGGATCTAACTCTTGTTTGCTCTTTAAAGTTTTATTGTTTTAGCATTTTGTACAGGGAGTGAGCATTAGCATACTCAGGAGAACTGCTGAAAGTAAAAGGCCTCCAGCTACCCACTGCATGGCTGATAGGATAAAGCAGGGATATAAAAACTTTTGTCTGATTGCTCACTTCCCTTGTTTTAGAGTACTGCTACTCTCAAGAGCATATATTCATGTTCTTTTTACTTCGAGTTTTATTACTCCTTTTGTATTATTTAATACATCTAAAGACACTTCCAAAAGACAAATTTTTCCATTTTGGAAAAGTAATGGTTTGGAACCTGATGAAACACATTAAGGTTCACAGTCTGTTTTGCACAAAGGTGATAGAGTAAAGGTGCTAAAGAGCAATTAAGCATATGATCTTAGAGACATTAATATGTCAAATAGAATGAAAATGTTTTTAAAAAGTCAACAAAAACAATATTAAATGGTCACATGAAAAGATCATATTTTGTATTTCTCTGTCGTGTCTTTGACCAGATATTTAATGCAAAAATAAATAAATCAAAAGAGGAAGGAAATATCAGTGAGAGAAAGGACTAATCCTACATCACGAACTTGAAGTTAGACTTATATTATGCTTAATTGTAGGAGATATGGACATAAGTTACAACTCATCCCGACCACTGAATGGTGTGTACATTTCATTATTCAGATTCTAATATTTTTCCCTGAAATTCCAGGATCTACCAGGGTCAGTACTTTTCAGTAAACAAGAAACTGATATTCTTGACACTATTGAATAAGATCAGGCATTTTTAAAAGTGTCATACACATTTCTGAAATCCACAATACATCAATTTTTAATACTTCCACTCTCTCAGCTCCATTAAAAAGATGGTAGGAGAAAGATTTTAGAGTAATTAATGATATAGTTAGCTGCTAAATATTAATAGGAACCGTAGTCTTGCATAAAATATAACATATAAACCTTGCCAATACAGACGCACCAGTAATTAAAGTTGAATATGTAATTACACTGATTTATAAGACAGGCAAAAAGTTACACTTTACTAGCTTCTATGTAAACTGTGGGTAACAGTTAAACTTTGCATTTTACGGTTTATAAAAATGGGCAATGTCTTGACTACAGTTCATAAATGGTTTAGAGTCCTGTAATAGTAGTAAAAATTATGATAACTTATTCTATCATGAATATTCTTATTGCACCACACAAACCAAACTGTGATAATGACCCATAAGACATAGATTCATCTTAGACACTATGCCCAGAGAATGTTACTAGTAGTAAGAATTTGTGGAGGACTGCTAGAACAATAATACAGGATGTTTGAGAGAATCTATAAGATGCATTAAAGCTGATTTGGGTACATTTTTTTCATCTTATGAGCACAATACAATTTACCTTCACTTCAACTTGTACTTTTTTACTTTAGAAAAAAAAAATAAATTTTAGAAGCATATGAATACATTTTCTTCCCCTTAGGGAGTCTGTTTACCAACTTACATGTGTGGCTGAGGTGAGCAGCCCGGACTGCTGTTCCCATTGCTGTCGATGTGGTCCAGGGAACCATTGAGGTCTTCATGGACTGCCTGCAGGAGGCCACTGGATGCATTATTGATCAGTCCAGGGTTACTTAGCAAAGGTAAACTGCTCTCTGCCAAGGCAGCCTAGTGAAATGGAGAGGGTATAAGATAGCTTTTAAGATGCTCTTCAAAGTAATTTTAAAAGCATATATCTTCTTTTAGAAGTATTCAAATAAAATGTATGGGAAAAACAAAAAATCCTAATTGGCCACCAGTGGCAAAGAAATCAAGAGTGATATGAACATATAAACAATAGTTCTAGTAGCAAACTTTCTCACTCATGTTTTAACCTTCCACATAATAAAATGTTGAATCATTGCATGTTGTGAAATACTCCAGGATAATATAAGCAGTTGCTCTGCTTTTTAAAAATGACCAGAAGTTAACTCAAAATAAAGAAGTCCTGACATTTGCCTTCTCTGCATAAAAATTATATATTATAATTAAACTTTAAAGTTTTTGCCACAAGCACCATGTTCCCCAACACTATGATGTGAAATCATTTATGACAGCCTGGATAAATATTAATGCATAGCCACATGCATTTGCAAAAGCTTCTATCAATCTAGCATTTGCAGGAAAACCGAGTGTTCCAGATTTTGCCACAGGGTGTCCTTCTTGCTTCTTCACATCAAAAGTAGCTTGAATTAGAACCAGTGCTTTTCACAGTACTAGGTACTACAACTTATTTGGATGATGATAAACTATTAAGAACAATCACAAGCCCACCTAAATGCAAAGCATGCAAACAAAAAAAAAAAAAAAGAAAGAAAGCAAAACATTCAAATGGAAGAGTGCATTTAATGATATTACCTGCAAACTGGCATTAAGAGCTGCTCCATAGCCTAAACTGGTAGGTATATTTTTTACTAAGGTTGGGCTTCTGGAAGAAAATATATATACAGATGATTTATAAATTAAAATATAAAATATGTGTATATAAATAATCTCAGCTAAAAAATATGTTCTGACTTGTTTCACAATCCTCATCCAGAGTGGATATATTAAGGCCACAGAAATAAGGTGATACATTTCAAATACAAAAGTCTCCACACACTACCTAGCAACATGGTCCTGGAATAACTGAAACTTTAGACTATGGTATGCAGGCAAAGGGGACATGACCTTGAGAATCTTTAAACTTATTTCTAGCTACTTGGAGGTTTCACTTCCAAGATCAAAAGCATTCATATAAAAATTTAAAAATGTAAATATACAACAAATTACCAATTTGATGTAATCAGGAAATAATTAATGGTTAATTTCTAGAACACCATGAATTAACATAACAAATTACCATAGTTAATTAAATGACAACATAATGGATTAACTATTTCTTGAATGCAGAAATTAGCACATACTTGACTACAGAAATCAAAACTCAAAGGCCAAGAGTAGATAAAACACATTAAAGTCATCTCTTCGCATAAGGCAGTAGTGGTTTGGGGGAGGAAGTAAATGCTACATGAAGTTAATTAGGCACAAAATGTGCTCTATTATATTTCTGACTTATGTTTGGCAGTCTTGTTCTCTAGAACAGAATAAAATTCAAACTTCCCAGACAGTGAATGTTTACATCCCACCATGTCGTGAGCATCTCAGCTTCACTGCCTAGACATGGTTGGGAATAAGCAGGGTGTGTACAAATAACCAAGTTTGCTTTGGAAGGTAAAAAGTATTTGGGACACTAAAATCACTTTAAAAAAAAA